GACCCGTATTTGTGGAAGATGTGTTCTGACCAGATTATTAGGAGGTGCGTGGGGGATTGTGAAATTACTTCCATATTAAGCTTTTGCCATACATTAGAGAGTGGTGGTCATTTCGGCCCTAGAAGAACTGCTCATAAGGTGCTAGAAGCTGGTTTTTATTGGCCTACTATTTATAAAGATGCTTATGAATTCTGCAAAAATTGTTCAAGATGTCAAAAAACTGGGAATCTGTCCAGTAGGTCTCAAATGCCTTTGAATAATATCTATGTCTGTGAATTGTTTGATGTTTGGGGAATGGATTTCATGGGGCCTTTTCCTTCTTCTTTTGGCTTTAATTACATATTGCTTTTTGTGGACTATCTTTTAAAATGGGTTGAGGCTGTCCCTACAAAGTTTGATAATGCTAATACAGTAGCTAAACATGCCCAATTTCTGATCATAAACAGGTATGGAGTGCCTAAATTTTTTATAAGTGATAGGGGAACGCACTTTTGCAATAAAACTTTGGAGATTCTGTTTTCAAAATATCACATATCCCAAAGGATTTCCACAGCTTATCACCCTCAAACTAATGGTCAAGCCGAAATATCTAATAGGGAAATTAAGCATATATTGGAAAAAGTCGTTAAGCCTGATAGGAAGGATTGGAGTTTAAGGTTAGATGAGGCTTTGTGGGCATATAGGACAGCTTATAAAACACCAATAGGCATGTCACCTTATAGGATGGTTTTTGGAAAAGCTTGTCATTTACCAGTTGAAATTGAACATAGGTCTTATTGGGCTGTTAGGGAAGTTAACTTAGACTATGATGCAGCTGGAAAAGAGAGAAAACTGCAACTTTCAGAGTTAGAAGAAATAAGACTTGAAGCTTATGACAACTCTGTAATTTATAAGGGTAAAGCTAAGGCCTTTCACGATGCAAAACTCACTAGGAAACACTTTGACATAGGTGATAAAGTGTTGTTATATAACTCTAAATAGCATTTGTTTCCGGGCAAGTTAAGGTCTAGATGGCTTGGACCCTTTGAAGTGTTAGAAACCTCTCCTCATGGGGCTGTGGTAATTAGAGATTTCAATACTAATAAGATTTTTAAAGTTAATGGGCACCAATTGAAGGTGTATCACCAAGGTGAGCAGGTTGCTAAGGTCGAGGACATCTTCCTCGAGGAGCCATGAAATGAGGCAGTAAAGTCTAGCCGGGACTACTAAACAGGGCAGCTTTCTGGGAGGCAACCCAGCACAAAAACAAAAAAACAGGCATTTTAGTTACATTTAAGTTTTCTTTTATATTCAGTTTTTTTTCTTTTATTTTCCTTGCATACTCTTTGCATTTAGTTTAGGATCATTTTTAAGCTTTCATTCATTCAATTAGCATAACATGCCCTGAGGACAGTGCATAGCCTAAGTGTGGGGGTGTGCAGCTGTTTCTTAGCACTTGGATCCATGAAACCTTTAGTTTTTTTTTCTAACTAAAAAAATCTGCACTTTAATTTGAAAAAAAAGCACTGATTTGTTTTTAAACAAGCTGCAGTTGATTTCATTCTAAATCATAAGGAAGGGTATAGTTTTATAAGAACATATTTGGCACCAGGAGTTATAAATCTGATTTTCAGACCTTAATACACTTCTGCATCTTTAACTTTCCTTATACCAGGCCTTGCACAGCTGCATTTTTGTTGTTTCTGGAAAAAAAACTGCAGTTTTCTTTTTTGAAGAAAAAATACAGATTTGCTGCTTTTGAGAAAAAAACAGATTTTTTTAAAAGAAAGAACAGAATTTTTGGACTCTTCATATCTGACCACTTTTAAAATAAAGTGTTTGCACCATTTAAGAGGAATAAAACTGGATCAGGAGAGGGAATCGTGTGAAGATTGAATTTTTTTTTTGTACTTTCTGGAGCTGCCTGGTTTATGTTAATGTTTTTTATTGGCTCGAAATTTCAGGAGTTTTAATTAAATTTCTCACTATAATAGTCTAAGTTCTTAACTTAGAAGAATTTGTTTAAGCATCCAATTATATTAGTTGTTCAATCTTTAATTGTTTAATCAAGTAGAATGCTCCTTATTTAATAATTTTCCTCTCTTGGTTAGTCACATAATCAATTTTTGGTCTAAGTTACATTCTTGCACTATTACTCTCAAAAGGATCTGCCTTCTATCTTCTATCCATCTTCTTATCTCTCCATGCTAAGTTTCTGAGTAAAATCTTAAGGATGATAATATTTAGCTAGAACTGGTAAAGTAGTTCTTCTAGAGGTTCTGTCTTTGAAGGGTTTTT